CCCATGTGGTGAAGGCAGGGCGCGGGGTGTGGGGGGGGGGCTCTTGCATTGCATGGGGGGGGTGTTAACACGTGTGTGTATGCTCCCCCGGTGCCCCATTTTAGGCCTGGAAGGCTTCCTGCACCAACCTGGAAGCCAAAAATAGGTGAGGGGAGGGGGGCTGCAGGCACCGGGGATGTGCACGCACGTATGGGAGTGGGGCACATGCATGGGGGACTGCACGCACGGGGGCGCTTGCATTGCATTTTGGGGTTGTGCGCGTGCACGCTTTGGGCACTCAGCACCAAAAAGGTTAGCCATCCTAGTATGAATTTATATACCAGGGGTGTGAAACTCGAAGCCCGGGGGCCAGATCTGGCCCGCAGGGTGCTTAGATGTGGTCCGCGGGGTTGTCCTGAAAACAGCAACAGACTGGCCCACGGTGCTTCTGCCAGCGAAAATGGAGCTTGGGAGGGCCTCAGGCAGCCCCCCCCCGAGCTCCGTTTTCATTGGCAGAGGGTTACAGGAGGCTGTCGCAGCCTTAAACGGAGTTCAGGAGCCCATTTTTGCTGGCAGAACACTTGGGCCACCACAGGTACCCCCAACATGAGTGATGTCGAGCTTGCCACACCCACCCCAGCCCCCCCAAGGTAAAACACAAGCCTGATGTGGCCCTCAATTAAATCGAATTTGATACCCCTGTTACAGGCCAAGTATGAAAATTAAGATCTCACACTGCTTCTCTCAGAAAACAATACACAAAACACATCTATCTAAGCAAGCCAGACGTGGGGAACTATGGCGCCTTTATGACTTGTGGACGTCAACTCTGAGAATTTTCTGAGCCGGTATGGCTGGTTAAAGGAATTCTGGGAGTTGAAGTTCACAAGTCATAAAAAGGGCTATAGTTTTCCATCCCTGATCTAAGTGGACAACAGTCAAGGACTCACCAGTTCCAATTCCACTGACTACAGTGCCGTCAATCAGTCCTGTAGTAACAACATTATTGGTTGGTGCATTGTGAGGTGCCAAACTAGGTAGGAACAGGCAACTATAAAAGAGAGATGAATGAATTAGGAACAGTTTCTGAACAATAAATGAAATCAGCAATATCTACAATAAATTAGATCAAAAGCTTGCTCTTTTGCAAGTTATCTGGGCCTAAAACCAGGGACAGTAACATTAAGACATTATTAAAATTGCTCTGTTTGTCTGTTTGTAAACTTCAGTTGGGAGAAACAGTGCATTATAGGGCAATCAGCTCACTTCAAGTGGGCCAACTTAAAGATCAAAATTCAGATATTTGGCAACTGGCATGTATTTATGATGGTAGTAATGTCCCAGGGTCATGTGATCACTTTTTGCGACCTTCTGACAAGCAAAGTCAATGGGGAAGTCAGATTCACTTAATAACCGTGTTACTAATTTAATAATGGCAATGATTCACTTAACAATTGTGGAAAGAAAAGCTGCAAAATGGGTCAAAGCTCACTTAACAATTGTCTTGCTTAGCAACGGTAATTTTGGCTCCATTGTAATTGTAAGTGGAGGACTACCTCTATCTCTGAAATGATGACCAAATGAATCACAGGTTGTCAAGCCAGCCGCATATCATAGTAAATTGTACATCACCTCGATTTTTTTTTTAAGACTATATATCTTTATTGAATTTTTAAAAACCCAGTAAAATAAAAACGAATGCCTTTGGTTTTAATGTTTTTAACTTTCTATGTATTACAGGAGTGGGTTCTGGCCGCCATTACTACCGTTTGGCGCCGGAAAATCTTTGCTTGCACATACATCAGACGCGCGCTATGCACGCATTTACACTTAAACCGATCTGCGCATGTGCACATTTTAAAAGGAATAAAAATTACATTTTTTCAATGAAGATTGTTCTGCGCATGTGCAGAACAGAAAATCAAGATGGCGCCGCTGAGGATACAACTAGTATCAGTCATGTGTCCGCCGGAGTTACTACCTATTCAGCTGAAGCGGACCGAATAAGTAGGAACCCACCTCTGATGTATTAACTGTATAAGTAAGCGTAAGCCACCCAGAGTTAACCTATGTATGGTAAAATGGGCAGCCAATACATTTTATAAATAAATAAATAATATAAAAGGAAGAAAGTGAAGGGGATTAAAATGGTAACGTTCAAAACACTGACAAAAATACATAAATCAAATATTTAAGGAAGTTTGACCGACATCCATAGAAATGTTGAAATTCCTATTTGGAGTAAGAGGCCTTTTACCTTCAACTTTTGATAGGAATTGTGAACCAGGGAATGCCAGCGTATATGGATTGATTGCAGATTAGTGGCATTTACACACCCACTTGTACTCACACACGCAGACACACAAATCTCCCAAAGAGAACACAAGTACATAATTCCCTGTTTCCCTGAAAATAAGATCTCCCCGGATAATAAGCCCAATCGGGCTTTTGAGTGCATGCGCTAAAATAAGCCCTCCCCTGAAAATATTGCAACACAGAAGCAGCCATGAGGTGACCACGCTCACCGCCTCCTGCACCTCAAATATAATAAGACCTTCCCAAAAATAAGACCAAACACTTATTTCGGAGGTCAAAAGAAAACAAGACCCTGTCTTATTTTTGGGGAAACACGGTAAGTAAAAATTAATAATCGTAGAAGCGCTCTCTGAAAGACGAATATGGCAAGGAATAGGAATAAATATCATATTGTGACTTTCCTAGCTGTCATTGTAAGAGCAGTGATGGAAATCTTGCTCTTTACAGGTTGCAGACAAGCCCACAGATCCCTTTTCTATGGGCCAGACTAGGAGTCTCCAACCTTGGCAACTTTAAGCCTGGCGGACTTCAATTCCCAGAATTCCCCAGTCAGCTTGCTGGGGAATTCTGGGAGTTGAAGTCCGCCAGGCTTAAAGTTGCCAAGGTTGGGGACCCCTGGCCCAGAGGACCATCTCCATAAAATTGGCGGCATGGTTTTCTTGAATTTTGAGGTTGGGGGTGGGGGGAGCAGTAGAAATTTTCTCGTAAGCCTAAAATAAAACTGTCATACTTCAAAATTGATAAATAACGTCCTTCCTCTCAGTTGCACCCACATGCATGATGTTCCCTCATCGTTTTGCATCACTGTTCCATTTATTGGACCCAAAATATGTTTTCCCGCCTCCCATAAATATTTCCAAAATGTCAGGAGACGTTTGCCATTTGCTTTCCCACCTGTCTGTTTGATGGTACATTTGTCTCCATTCCAGAAAATGAAGTACTTGCTCATGTTCTTTGAATAAGACCCATGATTAACAAACCGTGGGAAACATCAATCACATAGCAGCTACGTCATTCAAAATCAAAGAGTGTATTTGTGTGTATGTGTGTGTGTTGGAGGGAAGATGGCAAAATGACACATTGTGGATCTACTTTGCAATTTTGATGTGTAATCACTGAACTAGAATTACATCCTATCTCCCTCGGTTTTTTCCTTCTTCTAAAGACAGGAATAAGGATATTTTAAAAAGATAATTCAATATTTTAGCAGGTGAAATACAGAATGTTATAAACTCACATTATGCTTTCGCAATCTAAATTTCTTTATGGCACAGTACATTAAAAATCCAAGCAATTTCTGGTACAATTAATTTTAGTAATAATAATAATAATAATATTCAAAACATTAATAATGATCACATAATAATAATAGTATTTGCTTATCCATTTTAGTGAACCTTCGCTATGTAATTAATCATTCTCTTATGCTTTTAAATTTCTAACTTCTGTTTTTGCTACAAATCCCATGTTAAAAAATATTCCGTTTCTTCCTTCTCCTTAATTTTAAGTGTTAACCTATCCATTTCTGCACATTGTAATATTTTTTTATTACATTTTCCTCTGTAGGGATCTCTTCCTTTTTACACTGTTGTGCAAACACAATTCTAACCACTGTTAACACATGTAAAATTAAATCCAAGCAACCTGTAAACCACATAATGAATTATCTAGAGCTTTCTGTGCTCTTCTTCTTGTGCCATATTCGTCATTGGACGTGTTGGCATGATCATGCTGGAAATCCTATTTTTGTCAACAGCTGCATGAAAAAGTGCTGCGGACTTTTGTCCAAACCAGTCCCTTAGATTTTGAAGCCACGATCTTCTTCTTCTGCCTGGACCTCATTTGCCTTCAATCTTTTTAAAGTTTTTTTGTTTTGTTATATATTTAACTTCTTTTATAAACAGAGTGTTGTCCATGTTTTCCCCCTTAAAATCTTCTCATAGGCCTAATTCATTTTACAACATATTTCCATTTTCAATTTCAGCCACATAATTTTCTTTCCATATTTTCCATCTTAGATTTAATTTCTTCTTAATAAACAATATCATTATTTGCCTCTCCACGTTAATCAAATTTATCATTCCATTTCCATCTCTTTCATATTCTATTTTACTATAGATAACATATATCCTCAGATTTAATTTTGTATAACAAACATTTCACTTAGTTAATTATCCACAATTGATAGTATTAATCGATTTCCCTCACATCATATTAACTATGTGTCATTAACAATATTAACATATTTCATTTTGTTCTACCTGTAAATCCTTTTCCTTCTTTCCTCCTTTCCTAAGAGACCATTGTCTCTTAGTCTCTCCGAAACTTCACTTCTTTTATGTTCTCTTCCTTTCACCCATTCATCTAGGTTTTTTTTCTATTTCTTGTTTTTCTAATTTCTATATTTTTTCTTCCCAAATCTTTTTCCTCCCTGTCAATTTTATTCTTCCGATAATTTTCCCCAGGTTTTTTCCTTGGTTTTTGAGGTGTTAAGCTCCAAGCCATATTTTTTCAGTCATTTCTGTGAATGACAGGTGTCTTTCCAGACTTAAGACAAGTGGATACAAGGGCCACTTTTAAAGGGGGGGGGGGAGGAAATGTTGCAGCACATAAAAAGTAATGCTTTTTAAGGTGGTCTTAAACTTTGTTCCAGAAGAATGCGTAACATCCAAAGCAGCCTTCCGTGTCACATTCTATATCAGTGTTTCTCAACCTTGGCAACTTGAAGATGTCCGGACTTCAACTCCCAGAATTCCCCAGCCAGCATTCGCTGGCTGGGTAATCCTGGGAGTTGAAGTCCGGACATCTTCAAGTTGCCAAGGTTGAGAAACACTGTTCTATATGGTTGTAAAACCAAAACCGTCCCCTTAAACCTCCATGAAGAACAATGAATTAAGACAAAAGGTTTTGAAAGACCTTACCCGAACCCTTCAAGGGAAGTGTCAAATTCAATAAAGGCAGGCGTAACGGATGAT